ATTTATAATCAGTCACAAGAACGTCGAATCTGAATCACTTGAAAAAAACACGGGGGTGCTTAACTTTTTTCCAGGTGTATATTTATATATTTCTCCATATGCACAATTCTGACACATACTCAGTGGACTGTCCTCATGGAGTATCATAAATAAAGCAGTAGGGGATTGCTGCCCATCCCTGCTACTCTTTCAGTTAAATAAATCAGGAGTGGTTTGCTTTTCAAAATACGGTTTCATGGTCACCCATTGCACTTTCTCCAGTGTGACATTCCTCTGGACTCCCCAGTGCCTTTTACTCCTCCCTTCTTTGAGTGGAGTTTGAGAGTCCTTGCCACTTCCCAGTATTTAGCCACTGGGGTGGTGGACCATGGAGGCTTCCTCATGTGTAGAATACATCTTAACATTACATTACACTACACTATGTTGAGAAGAGGGCAAAGCTGGGAACTTTCCAGCTTTCTACATCATGGTAGTTTAATCAAGGGTGTGCTGATGTTGGTGGGAGCTGGACCAGCCCTGGATCCTCCTTGTAATACTGGGTTCAGGTAGGTTGCACCTTGTTCCTATGGTTGACAACAGTAAATGCCTTCTTCTCAGTAATTCTGGTTGCAGAATATTTCATTCCCCCTACTCCACTACAGTTGAGCTTGAGGACATTCATCTGTCTCATAATACCAGTTGCAGGATGTGCAATGCCCTGTTCCTAAGGTTGAGCAGGTGTTTTGCATCATCCCCATAATGTTGAATACACAATGTTTCTTCCCTGCTTTTATGGTTGAGTTTGAATGATTTTGCTGCTTGTCATACTGGATACAAGATGACTCTCTGTTCTTATGGTTGAGTTGAGGCTTAACCACAGCCCTGTATGTCTGGGTTCAGTTTGTTGTACTTCCTGTTTTCTATGGTTGATTTGGAAATAGTTGCCCAGCAAATGTTATTTACTTACTTCCTCATCATAATTCTGGTTGCTTGCACTATGGCACTCTGTTTACTTATGGCTGCAATATGTTATATTTACTGGTTTTGATCTTTCGTTAGGTTCTCTGTTTCGTAATACTGAGGATGGAATGTGGAACCTCAACTTTATGGATGAGGTTGAGTAGATACCTTGCATTGTCTTGTTGAATGGCTCTTTCTTCATGATTCTGGGAAATGGCTGTTGGCTTTCTGTGTGGGTTTGGAGTTACGTATCTGTGTCCATTTTTTCTTTATACTACTTGTGACTTCTCCCACTGGAATAGGTTCATTTCTGGTCACATTTGTACAGTTGAAAATGGAACGGGATTCACGTTCATCATTTACACCTGATACATTGTTTTCCAAGGTCTTTCTTTTACTAGCTCCAGTCCTCAATGCTGCCCATTTCATACCACTTCACTTCTATGAGGGTGAAGAGCATACCTGTTCCAGAAGTGCTGCAGTCCTCCACAGGTGTGCTTTCATTCCATTACAGAGCGTACCTGTTCAATTCTCTATGGACACTTTCTGCAGGGGTCTCTTGTTTTATCTTTCACTGGTCCCTCCACCTACTCTATATGGGATTTTAAATAATGTGTGAGAGGAGGTATGTATCGTATCAGAAATGATAATTTTCTTACACATAGATACTTACCTCTTCTCATACTTGAAAGTGAGGGTCAAATCAAGTAGTATAGAGGGAGCCAGAGTGTGTCATACCCTACTGGTGGAGTGTTAACACATGCTCTATACATGCTAAATGAGCAGCTCAAACATATGAGGCATAAAGGCTAGTGCATTAGAGGGCAGTGGAAGATCGAGAAAAGCTATTGTGTAAGAAGAGGTAAGTATCTATTGGAAATCTATTTTCGGTATAAGGAAATGAACATTAAAATGAATAAAACAAAGTATCTTTTGCATGCAAGTATGAGAAGCAGCAAATTCATTCTGCCACAATATAATATTTTAACCTTGTTTGTACAATACTATTAATGTAACAATATTTGTAATGGTTTTGCACAAATATGAAATATTTTACACTTTTAAAGAAAATGTCACTATGTGGAAGTAAAAGCTATTTAAATTATGCTGAAAAGGTTTAGTCATAATCTTCTTTAATCATGTCATTATGCAGACAGCAGATTACCTTACCCCTATGTTCAGTTGCTCGTATGAGTAGTAGTTAAAATATTTTGTCACATGCATCTCATACTTAGTAAAAGTAAATAAAGTGGGAAAAAAAACTTGTCTGTGATAGTTTATTTCAGCATTCATATAAAAATGTTAAGTATAGGTAACAAATCATAAAATGTGGTATGTTTAAAATTTGGTTTGTTTGGTATATTTAACCTAATAACTTTTTTAACATTACTTCTGTTGTGTTGCAACTGTTATGTAGGAATTTGGTGTAGAGAGGAAGAGTTAAGTAAAGCCATTATTCAGCAAAAAATCCAAGAAGAGATGCTGAAGAAACGGGAACAGGAACTTACTGAAAGAGAGTTTTATGTGTTAGAAAGAGAGCTTAACATTATCTTTATTCAGCAACAGCAAGGGAGAAAAGAAAAGGAAAGTTTAAAAAGAATCGTCTCAAGTTGTTGAATAATGGAGGACAGCAAATTAGCATGCCCTCAGGTACTATGGAAAATAATGGGAGTTGACTAGTGAAATAAGACTGATAGCATATTGCTAGCTCAAGTGTAAATGATTAATTACAAATGATAGATGTTTACATACACAGAGTTTTCAGTATGCTTTGATATTTAGTGAGCTACAATATTAAATTAATACATCCACTTTATATTTTACATGATTATAGCAATTGTAGTAATGGTTGTATCATGTTTAATATTGCTTAAAAAAAAGAGGAAATTATTGAAGGTATGTGTATAATTACTGAAGTTTAGTTTATCAATCTTCTAGACATAGACACTTATACACACACACACACACAGATATATATTGAAGCACTAGAGCTGGGTGATTAGTAAAATTTTTTAATTGATAGGCTCATTAATTGATTACTTTCAACTAATTGATTATTCTCATGAGAAAGCTAAAAAAATACAGCTCATAACACTGCAAATTGAGTTTCAACATCTGCAGTAGGTATAGCACAGATAGACATTGTGAAGCTTTGGGATTAGTAATGAAGAAATATAATGGCAATATTTTATTTACTTGCTTAATTGAAATGACCAAAACCAGTAATAATTAGAAACACTCATTTCGATTATTTGCTTTTTCATGACATTAATTAATTTATTTGTAATTTTGATTGCTGGATAGTTGAAATAATAAAAACTAATAAATTGAAACACTAGTTGATGATTTTTTGTATTTATTTATTTAATTTGTAATTTGGATTAATTGATTATTTTACGTGATGTAATTGATTGAGTTAATTGCCCAGCTGTAATAAGCTCACATTTTGGTTTATATATCCTTGTTTGGGTGAGGCATCATGGGAATGACAGCTATTTGTCTACACATATAACAGGAATCACCATAAGCCTAGTAAAGTTAATTTTTCTTTCATGTTCACTAGCAATTAAATGTGATTTTAAGATGTCATGCAGAGCTACCAGTGCAATAACTTTACAAATATAAGTGATAATTATTATTATTTAAAAAAATTTTTTTAGAACATCTCTTAAGTACCAACCATTTTTTAAAGGTCTAGATGAAACTTATCATATAAAAATTACAGATCATGCTGTATGCTGACATGGAATGTAAATGTAATTTTTTGTGTACAGTACTGGGCAAAAGTGCTAGAACAAAGTCAAAAATTAGATTTCAGGCCACTTTCAAAGAACAATGGAAGGTAAATCACAGGTGAAACATCAGAATTTTATTAATCTTCATATTTAGTACAACAGAAACTCAGTAGAAATGCTTGAGTTTAGCAAACAGTTAATATTTTGTTTGCTTTTGCTCTAACTGCAGACAGTCTTTCAGGCATTGTTGCAACATACTTAATCAAAGTGCCCTTTGGGATTTTTACTCCAAATGTCTCTAATACATTCCCATAAAGTTTCATTTGGAAGTAACTTTTGATTTGTCAAATTTTAGATCTATCAAATCCCAGATCAGCTTAATTGGGTTATCAGAGCTCTGTGGGGGCCATAGCATCATTTGAATGACTCCAGCAGCTTCTTTCGTAGCTAAGTAATTTCTGCATAGGTTGTGTTACGTGTCTGTTTGTTTGATAATTTCCCGTAAAAATTCTTCCTGAGAAACTTCAGCGATACAAGTCTTTTCTTAAATAAAATTAGTTTATTCTTTCTCAATTCAACTTTGCAATACACTTAATTTCCACAGTCACTTTAACTTAAACACATGCTATAATTCACAACGAACGATTCACACACTTTTCTTACAACTTGACTCAATTATCTATTTCTATCTCTTCAATCTGCGATTGTTCATATCTATGCCGTCACTTCTTGCCGGTCTTATATATACGAAATAGAGGTCATCTGGAGAACACTCGAGGCTTCACGAACTGACATGATCTTTCTCGAATTTCATGATGTGTTACTAGCGTCACGTGACTTCCGCTGTCGTAACACTGCCCCTTCCTTAGTATTGCTTATCCTGAACAATAGCCACTTAAATTAAACCAAAAGAAAATTAACAATAACTTAATTAAATGTACAGAATTTACAAACACAAAATTAAAATTGAACAAAGTCTCTTAATTTTACAGGATGTATCTACTTCTGTACTGGCCTTTATCTCGTCGGCTTCTGCATCACGTGGGGCTCATCTGCTCCATCAAGAAATGTCCTATTATCGGTTAAAGTCACATCAGTGGTAGTAACTTCGTCAAGGGCTTCACTGTTTCCCTTCTCAAAACCAAGTAGAGTTTCTTTTTCGACAGTGGCTTTTTCAGGTGACATGTCTTCAACAGCATCATTTGTTTCATTGTTCACTTTGTTCCAAATGAAATGTCCTGGACCGTGATAATACCAAAGCCTGTTGGCATGCACCACCTTTGGCTTACCTTGCCAACCACATTTTATTTGAAAAGTCATGTCTGAGAGATGATCCACTATGTCATATGGGCCTTCCCATGGAGATGACAATGTAGGAGACTTCCTTTTGGTCTTCCTGGGATTATACAACCACACCTTGTCTCCTGGTACAAAGCTGACTTCAGTAGATCTCTTATCATAACATAACTTCATCGAATCAACAGACATTTTCAAGTTTGAACAAACTTGATGGTGAATATTATCCATTCTTTCTGATAACACTTTCATGAACTCTCGTACATTTTCAGGCAACTCTTCGTAAGGTAAGCGTCCTTTTATCAGATCCACTGGCAACCGAAGTTCTCGACCAAACATCTACTTTGCTGGAGTGTATCCAGTGGTTTCATGCTCTCCTGTCCTATAGGCCATCAACAGTGGAGGGAGTAAGACATCCCAGTCATCTTGGCGGCTATTACAAAACTTTGCCAATTCCTGTCCCAGTGTCCAGTTGTACTTTCTATCATCCCATCAGACTGTGGGTGAAGTGGCATTGCTCTGGTCTTTCGTATGCCAAAGAACTTTCAGCATTCATGAAACACAGCTGATTCAAAGTTACGGCCTTTATCAGAATGCAGTTCGTATGGCATACCAAATCTGAAGAATAAATCACTAATTTCCAAAGCTACACTTGTAGCTTCCTGATTTGGTATTGCATATGCCTCAGGCCACTTGGTGAAATAATCCATCACCACACAAATATACCTGTTTCCAGCACGAGTTTGGGGCAAAGGACCAGCAATGTCAGTGGTTACTCTTTCCATTGGTGCACCAACTTGATAAAACTTCATTGTAGCATGTCCCTTATACTTGCCACTGCTGTAATCTCTCTTCTTGTTTCTTTTCTCATTCTTCTTTTTTTCTTTTCTTTTTCCTCCAGCAACTGCTGTAATCTCTCTTCTTGTTTCTTTTGTCATTCTTCTTGTTTCTATTGCTGCCATCAAATCTGCTAAGCTGTAGTTTTATTTGTCGCTTCTTGTTTCCATGTTCTTTTTTTTTTTTTCATCCCACTCTCTGACACCAATTGTTACATCCATGGTCGTTTCTTAATTTTCTGTAAAAATTCTTTCCAAAGAACTTCAATGATACAAGTCCTTTCTTAAATAGTCACTTTAACTTAAACACACACTATAATTCACAACGATTCATATACTTTACTTACGGTCACTACCGCTCACTCGACTCTATTATCTGTCTCTATATCTCCCTATCTGCCATTATCTATGCCGTCACCTCTCCCCTGCTTTATTTGCTGGGCTTATATATATATATATATACAAAAATAGAGGGTGCGTAGAAAAGACTAAAGTTCCCAGGAACAGACATGATCCTTCTAGAGTCTCATGACGTGTTATTAGCGTCACGTGACTTCCGCTGTCATAACAATGCATTAGTAGAAAGCAGACATATGCATAAAAATATTAGACCTGCAGAAATCAGTCCATGCAGGTCTTTTGCAATGAAATAAATAGAAAACAGATAGACAACAGTAGTTTACATTTTGCTTATCATTAACATAATTTATTCATCAACCAAACTAACCTGTAAGTAAAGTAGAACAGTTCTGGTTGCATGCTTCTGCACTAAGTTGTCATATTTTAAATGATTATAAGTCAGTCTAAAGAAACCTAAAGATGAAGCATGTTATTTAGTGTAGGAGTAGGTAAAGTCAAACATTTTCTTTATTAATTTTAACGTGAAAATTTGCAAAGGATGCATTTTTTATTTAGCAATACTGTTATAATAATTTGGGGAAGTGGGAACTACTGGTTTCCAATAAATATTTTTCTCCAATTGTGAGACTTTATGTGCTAAAATTGTCCTCATTTTGAATAAAAGGCCCATTACCAAAACTTGTAGACTAATCACTGTATATGTAATTGAAATAGTTATTAAGTTACAATACATTTGAGCAAGAAGATGAAAAGCAAAATCTCACATCACGTAAATCAATTTGTCTTGCCTTACCTTTGCTTTTAGTATCTTGAAAACTTGCCTATTGTGTGAACAGCTTACACTCCTGTGGGTCAGTATACCAGAACCTGTTTTTATACACATAAAAAAATTAGTTGTTAACAATACATTTGTTGTTACATAAACTAAGTTCAAAGGTACTGTACTCAAAGGAAACTAAAATATTTTTCTTACATTTCTAGTACAAAATAATGCTCTCCAAGTACACCATGGTGTGAACACCAGAATGTTATTCTAATGAATAATGTGTAAAACTAGTAGTACTACACAAAGAATATTATATTTTCAAATCTATTATGGACAAATGTGTGGTCTTTCAAGACTGTCTCTGAACACCTACTCCCCTCCCACCCAAAAAAAATCCATTCTTTATTTTTAATGATATCAATGATTTCCATAGTTAGTCACTCTTTTCGAAAAAACTAAAAGGGTCTTAGCTGGAGCATAGCCCACCTTTTGCATATCTTAAGCTTGGGTACAACCAATCTATTCAGAATTCAACACAAAGAAATTAGAGGCTTTTATTCTACAGATCCCCCAAATAATCTTTACATCAATAAAATCATCCATTACTTCTACTTTTGCAAGAGAAAATAAGATAACTTAACCTGTTATCAAATAATAACCATTAAGTCTCAAGAATAATTCTAATAGCCATCTTCAGAACCCTTTCCAATATTGAATATATCAGTATAATTTCTTTAAATATAGACACCTAAATTATGCACTTCAAATGAGGCCTAACTAGTGACTTGTAGTCAATATGTTTATAAATGCATTATCAATTCTGTTAGCTTTATTCTGATATATCTTACCTCCTCTCACAAAACAGCTTTTCTTGAGTAGTACTGCCCTCTATCAGTTAAATTTTCAATGCTTGCCACTAACCTTCCACCTCCTGCTTCTGCATATCCATATGTAAATGATTATGCAGCACCAATCCACCAGTAGGACTGTATCACAACCCCTACCGTAACCAGTACCTTCTCCACATTTACACTCATTAATCACTTCTTGATTGGCAGTTTGCTTGCAAATTTGTTGATGCTTTCCTTTCTACTACAGACTTAGTTTTTCTTTACTATGTTTTTGTTATTTTCTTATTTACAGGGGCCTTTTTGCTAGTGTATATTGTGGCGAGCGGTGCCTGACCAGGTATAACTTTTTTTTTTAAATACACACACATTGTCCATCCTGTGACCATGCTCAAAGTCAATTACGTTGTAGCTCTTCCTACCATGGACCTAATGTACAATTACAGATGCTGC